AGCCGATAAGGAACTACGACAGGCGGTCGACGCAGCGACCGCAGATGAAGCAGCGAAAATCCCCAATCCAAGTTTGGTCAAAGTTTTCTTCTGGACCCTAAATGCAGTGTTTTCACTGCGGAGATAGATGCGGCCCTCGAGGCCCTGAAGAGGATTGCACATATAAATAGTTTTAATAATTTTTAATTTTAACAGAAAGTTTAAGTATGGTCCAAAGTTTAACCAATCTCAGATTTGACTTAAAAAAAACTATATTTTGTATAATATTCAAAAATTGTTATTTAGTTATGCACAAAAGCGTATACAGGTATCTTTCATGTGGATTCTATTACATAGGGGCATAACAGGAAATGAGATAGTAGATAAAATTGCATTTGATGGAACCAACAGGGTAAATGATATGAAACTGTTCAAGAAAATCTGCCTGTAGCACCATGGTATAACAAACTGAAAATGGCCAGTTGGGACTTTATTATGACTATAAACAGATTACGTTTTGGTCACTCCACCGTACCGGCCCACCTGGCTCGATTGGGCATAGTGGAAAGCAGCTACTGCACCTTCTGCAATAATTCTGTTGGTGATTTCGAACATTTCATATTTACATGTGAGTGCTTTTCATTTGACAGATTGGTTTTTGTCAGTGAAATTAGTGACATAGTGCAAAATCAAGTGACAGTGCAAGATCCCTCCCGCCGCCTGACTGATATGTTAAAAAAATACAGTGGGGAAATTATAATAAACCGAATAAAAATACTCAAGACTTGGCCTAAAGGTCTAGATACCAGGCCATAAACTCATAAAAATATAACATTGTAGTCTTTGGTTTATACAGAGGTACTCTGTGCTTACTGCATAGAGAAAAGTAATACATGGTTTACTCTGTATATACCTAGTCAGGTCATAAATTCTGTCACATGTTTAATATAAAATAATTGAAACAAGTTTATACATTATGTAACCCTTTATATACCCAAATGAACTTAACAAAACATAGATTCTTATGACACTGAAGTTTATTCAAATGACCTCCGTGATTTTGAATACAGGCCTTCAATCTGCGCGGCCAGTCGTCTATCGCAGCACGAACGAGGTCCATGTCAATATCGGCGGCTGCCTTAATCAAGGATGTCTTGAGTGACTCCAAATTGGGATGAGGCTTTGAGCACGCCTTTTCCTCCAAGTGTTGCCATATCTTGTAATCTAACGCATTCAAATCTTGACTGGAGGAGGGCCAGTCTTCGAGCCGGATGAAGTCGATTTCACGTGCCGCCAGCCAGTCTTGTGTGCTCTTCGCTCTATGAGCTGGCGCCGAATCTTGTTGGAATACCCAGTGCCTGTTATTGAACATGGTATGAGAAACAGGTTCCACAAGGTTCGTCAGGACTGTATTTTGATACACAACTGCGTTCGTTTTTATTACACCTTTCTCACAGAAATGTACCTCTGTTAAGCCCCAATAAGAAACTCCCAACCATACCATGAGCGAGGATGGAAAATGACCTCGTTGGACACGCGGAATACGGTTGCTCGCTTCTTCACTACTGTGTGCGTACACCTTATCATTCTGTTTGTTGTAGCTCTCTACTACGGTAAAAAAATTTTCATCCGAAAAAAGAATTTCCCGTTATTTTTTTCCCGCGTACCGCTTCAACAAAGCGCGGCATCTCTTCAGTCTCAGGTCCATTAGACGAGCATTCAAACGATGTCCTGTTTTTCTTCGATATTCCCGAAGCCCTAAGTCTTCATTTAACACCCTTTTCACCGTGGTTCTGCTTAACCCCATTTGAAGGGCCAACAGTTTCTGCTTACGTTTGGGGTTTCTTTGAAATCGCGCCTTCACTGCTTTTATCACTGCTGGAGTCCTAATAGACCGAGGGCGACCACTTCTTGACCTGTCATCTACACTAGAGTCTTCATTGTATCGTTTGATGGTACGATAAACGAATCTTTTGGTTATATTCAAATTTTTCAGTATGTCTAAAATTTGAATTGGCGCGTAACCGCAACGATGCAAAACAATAACTGCAACACGGTCTTCTTTAAGCGTCCACTCCATATTTAAAAATGAGTAAAATTCTAAAAAGTATACAGTTTTATTTTCATGAACAATTCGAAATTCGAATTCAATAAACTTTTTTGTGGCCAGCATTCTAAAAGAAAAGTTTTTACTATGTGACAATACTTATGACCTGACTAGGTATATTACATAGACTTAGGATATACGTATAGACCAACATAGTGCGCAAGGGAGAAGAAAATTCCTTATGGGAAAAATGCAAGATAGAAAAGGATACCAAATCTTATGACTCTGTAACTGATTTTGAATGACAGGTGGGCGCAAGTCGGCGCGCAAGAAATAAGCTTGTAGATATTTTGTGTGTTTTTAGATTATAATAGTGTTAATTTGTATAATTTATAGTTTTCCAAATTGGTTTCATGTTCAGTAAGTGACTGTGGTATCAACAATAGAAGTAATCCTGATGGTTGCACATTTCACAGGTAAATTCGCAAGACGTCGTCAATAATAAGACACGTCTATTTTTGCTTAAAATTTATGTTATATACTGTTGACTTATACTTAATATTTTCAATTATTTTATTAATTTTGATATTTTGCAAAGAAAAAAGTCACATTGTTGATAATTTGTATGATTTTGGTGAATTAATTTTTAAACAAAATATTTTACATTTAAACTAGGGATTGACTCAACTATATCAAAATTAATGTCGATATTTATCTTTAATGTGTATAAAGAATCGATAGACTTTTATACACAACAAAAAGAAGAATGAAATTAAATGCTCGATTTGCGTTCTAAAAACAAAATTTTATTTTGCCGTTTGTCAAACAGATTTCCTCTGGATCCTTTAGTTAGAAAAAATGGTTGGCATTAATTGGGCGGGTTGGTTGGAATCCTAACAAGAACTCTACAATTTTGTAGTAAACATTTTATTGAGAAATATATAAGAAAAAGCAGAGTAAATACAACTTTATTAAAAGGAGCCATTCCTACATTATTTGTACCAGTAAGTATATTATTGTTACAATAAGACTTAATTTTTTTTATAGGATGGGGTGACAAACGAGCACACAGTCCACCAGATGGTAAGCGGTTGCTGTGGCCCATAGACATCTACATCTGTCATATATAGTTTGCAAATCAAACTGCAGATGATAATAGAAATAGATTTTTATACATTATAAAAGTCTATCTCTATTATTATATATTTTCCCCTAGGCGTTGTGCGGAGCTTTGGAATATATACCTAAGTCACAATGATACAACTTTTAGCGTAGTTAGGTATGGTTATTGAGTAAATGCCACTAGATGCCATGGGGCGCGTGATTTAGTGTACCAGGATAGTATAAATTCCATAGTATTTGATACGCGCAACGCTTGATATCCGATTCATGCTTGATGCTCGACGGCCGGTGACCGTTTTCTTAACATACTGCGATTGAGAGAATAGAAGAGTGCATCTGCATCCTCGGACGCTTGGTGCGCGTTAATATCTACAGCGTATTTGACTTGTCTATGTTAAGATCATTATATTTTTTAAATTCATGCAGCTAAAATGATAATAAATTTATTATTACTTTATATTTTTCAGGGACAGATCAAAGAAAGAGTAGCCTCATCATATGTCACTCGTGATATAACCCCTCCACCTTTGAAATCACAAGAAAGAAGTGTTCAATTTACACCAAGAAAAAAAAACTTTTATCGAAAATCGAGAAATTAAAACCAAATCTGTAAAAAAATATAGTTTGGAGCTATTCTATATATGCTGCTTTAACTTCAGAACTTTGTTAGTGCGATTTAGACTTCGATATGTTTCGCTTGTGGCACGACGACAGCACCGCCACAGGCATGTGGTATCGCAGACTTTTTTTAGATGGAGCAAAGACCAATATTTTTGTAGAACAATGTATTTATGTAATACTAAATGTTACGCTAGCGCACGTGGTTATAGCAGTTAAAGAGCGCCTTTTCTTCCGACTTGTTTAACAAAACTCAATATATAAGGTTAGCTCATAGTTATATGCTAGATAGCCTATACTATTCCTCATGAATCTGGCTATTATAGGCAAAAATTTTAAATTTGAACTGGTAGGTCCAGAGATTAGCGTTTTAAAACAAACAAAAAAAAACAAACAAAATAACTATTGCGCTTTAATTTATTAGTATAGATTAAATGATTTTGTTTTCTTGTTTTTGTTTCCGATTCTGTTTTATAAATATTAAAGGTAATGATTATTTAAAAAATAAAGCAGCCATTATATACTCCCTGTCCTCGTTTTTTATTTTACCAGCAAAACATTTTATAAAATATAAATAGGTACATAGATACTTAATTAAGTATCTACCTAATTAAATAAAATAGTTTAGTGCACAAAAGTTATTCAGTTCTGTGCACTAAACTATTTGTTTAGTCTTTAAACCGGTTTCTGAACAAAAATTTTTCGATAGCTCTTTTAAGTAAAATGTACATCACTAGCTAACTTATAAATAAATCAAAATTGGTCACGCGTTTTCGGGCTGTCAGGTCGTCTATACGCCAGTATATCCTAAGTCCATGGTATATTAATAGTGTTCCTTTACAACATGCTCAGAAGGGCTAGAACCCAGAGCCGTAAAGCCAGTTTTAAAAAAATGTTCCACCACAAATTATAAAGTTGTGTGTTCCACTGACTTAGAAGTATATATTGTACCTATGTAGTGTTCTGTGTCTGTGATATATTACCTATGTTGTATGCTATTTGGCCTAAAGGTCTAGATGCCAGGCAATAAACTCCAAAAAAAAAAATTGTATGCTATACTTTGTGATTCTCATAAAAAAGTAAAAAAAACTTCAAAGTAAAGAAGAAAAATTAAAAACAAATAAATTGAAGTCAAAAAAATTCTGAATGCAATTAGAAATCAGTTTTATTATTATGTAACTATGATTTGATTTAAAATTTTGATTAATTTCTAATCAACGGGTTTATATTTAATATGGGAAGTCCAGAACGAGAACTTTGTCCTCCGCCTTCAGAAGAGGATGAGCTTACTCTTCCTAGAGCCAGTATAAACAAAATGATTAAGGAGCTGGTACCTTCTGTGCGTGTCGCTTTCGAATCAAGGGAATTAATTTTAAATTGTTGTACAGAATTTATTCATCTGCTTAGTTCAGAGGCAAATGAAGTGTGTAATCAAAGCAACAAAAAAACTATTAACGCAGAACACGTCCTAACAGGTACCTAACTTTTTCTAAGTAATTTATGACTTAATACGTAGATGTTTTACTAAATAAAACTTTTCTTGAATAGCCTTGGATAGGTTAGGATTTAGTGACTACACTGTTGAAGCGGAAGCTGTTTTAAAAGATTGCAAGGCTGTAGCTGCAAAGAGAAGAAGACAAAGTACACGGCTAGAAAATTTAGGTATTCCTGAAGAAGAGTTATTAAGGCAACAACAAGAACTTTTTGCAAAAGTAAGTAGATTACTATTAAATCAACATTTTTCTAATCCTTCTAACTCTTTTGATAGCGAACATAAACTGCAAACACTTCGTTCGCTTTCTGTAATTCCGACTCCTAATTATCCTCCGTTCGTTTTTAGTCAGTTTACTGAATGTGATGTTAAGAAGACCATATTATCCATCTCCTCAAATGCTGCCGGTAGCGACAACATTAGCCGTAATATGATTGTTCCTCTCCTTGATGTTATTATTCCCATTATCACTTATTTACTCAATGCTTGTGTCTCTTCCTCTAAATTCCCTCAAGCCTGGAAGAGTGCTCATATTATACCCCTTCCAAAGAAATATAATCCCGTCAACCTCTCTGATTTCCGTCCCATCTCGATCTTACCTTTCCTTTCTAAAGTCCTTGAAAAACTTATTTGCCAACAGCTGACCCTTTTCCTTAATAAGCACAATTTATTGAATTCCTTACAATCCGGTTTCCGTCCAGGTCATAGTACGGCTACTGCCTTAATCAAAGTTACTGATGACATACGGTGGGGTATGGATAATAAACAACTCACAGTCATGACCTTGCTGGATTTCAGTAATGCGTTCAATACTGTTGACTTCGATATACTGTTGAGTCTGTTATGTTCCCTTAACATATCTCCATCAGTAATTGACTGGTTTCAAAGTTATCTCTGTGGCCGTCGGCAGTGTATTCGTGTCGATGAAACTCACTCATCTTGGTGTGATATAACTGCAGGCGTGCCGCAGGGCGGCGTGTTGTCACCTTTACTCTTTTCCATTTTCATTAATTCAATCACTCATAAAATATCCTCTCTCTACCACATGTATGCGGATGATGTCCAGATTTACACCCAGTCAACTCTTGAGAATCTGCCGAATGCAATCGCTACATTAAATAAGGATCTAAATTTTATACACGAGTGGAGTAAATCATATGGCCTAAATGTCAATCCTAAAAAGTCTCAGGCTATCATTATTGGTAGCCAGAGCTTTATCTCAAGAATTGACTGGTTCTCTGTACCACCTATCGTATTCGATGGAGTTGTTATCCCTTACTTTGACAATGTCAAAAATCTTGGTATTTATATTGATAATTCCTTAAATTGGATACGCCAACTGAATGAGGTAAGTAAGAAAACTTTTGTCGCTCTTTGTTCACTGCGTCGCCTTCGATCATTTCTTCCCATTCCTACAAAAATTATGCTCGCACAGTCTCTTCTCCTTCCGATTCTCGACTATGCTGACGCAAGCTATGTAGACATAACTGAGGACCAGCTAAATAAGCTTGAGAGACTTCAAAATACTAGTATTCGGTTCATATTTGGATTGCGCAAATTTGACCATATTTCCCAATTTCGCTCACGTCTCAAGTGGTTACCTATCCGACTTCGCCGGAACATGCATATACTTTCTATTCTGTACTGTGTATTATTTCACCCTTCTACTCCTCCCTATCTAAAGGAGAAGTTTAATTTTGTGGGGCTTCCGGGGGAACCTTTACGCTCTTCTAGAAAATTCATTTTAAGTGTGCCAACTCACAATACATCATTTTTCAATAAATCTTTTACTGTCCAGTCTATTAAGCTCTGGAATGCCCTACCTTTGCATATACGTGAGGCACAAACTATTGTTATCTTTAAGCGATTACTTAAAGAGCATTACTTGTCTCAGTCGTTCGGAGACCGTTAGGATAGATTGTGTGATTATGTATTTATTGTATCTATCAGTTTTATATTATTGTTTGAGGAATTTTGTATATATATATATATATATTGATATATACGTGTTGTGTGTATATTTATGTATATATGTTTATATATATGTGTGTATGTATATATGTATGTATATGTGTATGTATATGTATATATTATATGTGTTACCTTATCTTTTATTATGTGTTAGTAATTTATATTATTTCATGTATTACTTAGTTATTTATATCTTTTTTTTTTGCATTTATTATTTGTATATTTATATTGCACCACCTACCACCTACCTATTCATTGTTTGTATTACTTTACACCTTTGGTTGCCTGGAAGAGATCGCTATGTAGCGATAAGGCCGCCAAATTGTACATATTATAATCTGATTTTGTTATGACGTTTGTATATTTGTTCGTGGTGTACAATAAAAGTATATTCATTCATTCATTCATAGATTATCATTCCTTGAAATAGAAAGGAGTATACAAAACTTATATCTTAATAATTTTTTTAACAATACCATTATCTATTTTATTATATACATTATTAAAAACTATAATAATAATTAAAAAACTAAAACTTAAATACAACATAATAGGCAACTATTGTGGTGGGATTAAATGTCTGTGGCTATGGGCCAGCTGCCCTAAACCTACTGTTCATACCAGTACTTAATAGGTAATTTTGTTGTTTTTGTCAAAGATAGCAAACATTATAATTTTTTTTCATTACTATGCACAATTAACCAGAGGTGTTAGCCAAAACAAACTGGCTGTACTTATTTTGTAAAATGAGCATATTCAATGCCTAATTTTAACTCTTTGCGGCACAGATTTTAATTTTCAGAGAAAATCAAATATTTTTGATTATATCTAATATGTATATAAACCCACCACCATCCTACATATGTAGATTGGTGGTGGGTTTATATACAGGATGGTTATAGTGAGTGACCACTATGAGAAAAATGGCTAAATACAGGGTATTTTTGGAACGCTCCCGAAAACTAAGACAGGCGACAGCACCAAGTATACCTTTGATCATGGGTCATAAATAAATTTGATCCTGATGAAAAAAAAAACATATTTTTACAACGTTTTATTAGCTTTATTCACGCGTCATCATGTATAACAGCTAAATGAAACGATAATTTCATAAAAAAAATCATGAAAAGACTGAAACATAAAACCAGCAGTGGAAACTGAATTGATATCACCTGACTAATGGAGGTTAATGTACGCGCGAACGGTGAAAAAAGAACGCTGGCCTTGAACTTGGGCACTGAGCGATTTATCACATATTGGCCAGTATTACTGTGCCTGCATGCTATTGGTTCCCGCGCTTTGTTCGCTCCAAAAATACAGTCGCATACACAGCTTACTTTGCGACTCGCGACGATGTTTTAAAAAGGAAGGAAAAAAAATTATTTATATCTATTGTTTTATGACTAAACTAGTGAACGAAAAAGTGAATGGGGAAAATTGTGCAGTAAAGTTAAAATTGTTGAGGAAGAATACCGAAAAAATTACCATGTGATCGACCTGATGACGGAAGCTCAAGCGAAGATGAAAGTGATGATGAAGTAGCATCCAGTAACACCAACACACCATCAACATCTGGCTTCCATGTGACCCAAGACGTCATAATGGACGGCGTGTCACCCTTAGCTTAAGTTTTTTTGTTACAAACTACTTTATATTTTACGATAGAAATAACAAACAATGCTCAAGTAAACATTATCTATTTTTAATTCCCACCTCTTCCAAAGTTCTAAGTAGCTAGTAAAACACCTATTATGATTCTACAATAAAACAATTAATATAAAACAATAGCCCAATACCATGTAGTACTTTAGAACGCGACTGTACCCACACTCACTCCGCTGTCGACCTGTATCTAGCTCGGTATGAAGCAATGCTACGGTCATAAGAAAAAAGGGCGCATCTAACAATTTTCGAATAAATGAGTTAAATATACCATTCGACTCATGATAAGAAGACGCATCTACTAAATTTTTTTAATATTCACTAATATCAATATTTTAGAAATTATCGTCAGAATTTTAGACGTAGCTGTTGATCACAGATGACATTTTATTAGTTGAAAAGACTTATACAAATTCAACATAAAAGAAAAGACTTATTTAACCAGTTGCTACGTCATCTTTAACAATATTTGCATCGATTACTTAAATTTAAATTATTCTTGTCTTATTATTTTATATCTTATTATTAAGAGCTTATATCTTATTATTAAGAGCTGGTGTTTCACATGTGGTCCCATATAAATTTGATCGAGGTCAGACCAATAGTTTTTGAGTTATCCTTAATTATTTATATTAAAGTCGGTTGTACAAATGTTTTAATTTTTAATTATTATCGTAGTAAGTCTTGTATGATATCCCCTTTAAAATCATTACTCAAGAGTTGCGGGTTGTTATTTTTTGTGTCTCACTACCAATGCTTTTCTAATATTTACTAAGAAAAAAGTAGTAAATTACTATTAGCGTCCTCTCAACTTCAAATGACCTTTCCAAAATATGTAAAAATGTTAAATGAATGGTAGTTTTGTTTTATTTATTAGGTTGGGAAGACCCAAATAGTTATATGCGTCTTTCCTTCGATGTTTTTGTGTTGCCAGGTGTATTTTTTAATCTAAGATGAAGAGGAAAATTCGTTTTATTTAAATAAATAAACAAATTTAAAAAAAAAATAAGTTCGTCCTTAAAATCTTCATGTCTCTACGTATATATTTCAATATAGATACCTTTTAATATACTTTAGACACGGGGTCTGAAAGAAAAATTCATCAATTTATTTTTTATTTCCATTTTACGTTTTTGTTAGTTACTTCCTTTTTTATTATGACGGCAGAATGCCTAACCCTGTCGCCTCACGCTTGTGACGCAGTAGGTTTCAGGTGTTGATTTTGTACACGCGTGCGCGAGCGACAGTTCAATCGTTTTGTTTAATAAATTTACTTGTGATTACGTGTTGATATTAAAGTTTTTGTTACGTTTTTGGATTCTTTTTTGTTTTAATAATGCCTAACGCGTACGTTTATAGTGGTTATTACTTATACTGCCGTTGGTTATTATATCAGCAACAACGTGTGCCTGGTTCCATTGATCACATTATCTGGACGGATGAGTCGACATTTACCAGAAACGGCCTGTGGAACCGAAGAAATACACACGTGTATTCAGAGGTTAACCCGCACGCTGTTCGACAAACCGGGCACCAAACCCGATGGTCGGTTAACGTATGGACAGGTTTATTTAAGGATCGCATACT